TTTTAATGATACGAAAGCTTATAAAAACAGCGATTTTTCTATGATTCTTTCTTACCTGTTTGTTTCGACTATCGATAAATAGAAGTACGTGTCTATATTTCGATGATTATTAATATTATTATTATTATGTATAAATACAAACATGTTTGTCCTGACGTATTAATGCAGTTTTATTTAAATATTTATTTTATTTTTCTAACAATGTTCATCTAGAAAAATTCTACCATTTTTGAGATATCTTGTTCATTTATGATTCCAAAACTTTACATTTAAGGTGTAACTTTTGTACCATAATTTTAGGAACAAGAATTAAGAAAGTAAAAATATGTAGAGGAAATCTTGATATTCAACTATGAAACATAAACTAAGGAGCTATAGGATGTCTATTCATACTTTGCTAAAGTTTATACATTTGGATCCAAGTGTCACTATTTATGAATATCTAACTATATTTAGGTTTATCACTTTTCACTATTAAATACACAGGAACATGATCACTTCTTGATCAACTTTGTTGGATTTTTTGATCAACGCCATAAATGTAAAGTTTTAAAGTCATAAATGTAGAGAAAATATCAAAAATGGTGCATTTTTTTCTAGTTTAAAATCCTTATACTTTTTAGATACAACAATTCTTCAATTTCCTTTGTTATTCATTATTATATAAGTTTATTATGGGCGAAGTAATCAGTTTACTTCTCTTGTCAGCTGTGGCTATTTTCATACCACCAATAGCTGCACTTATAATAGTATATTTCTTTTTTTTTCTATTAAAATCTTTCATAATGAAGATTTTTTTTCATTGTTTTAGGTTGGATGTTCGACACATTTTTTTATTAATTTACTATTGACTTTTCTTGGTTGGATACCTGGTGTTATTCATGCTTTATGGCTGGTCTGGACTACTCCTACATGCCTTTAATCATGTATATATGAAGCAATAGAACTTAGAAACTTATATATTTTTGTCTCATATTCATTTTAATCGATGAGTGTGTAAGGTTTGAACAAAACTTCACATTTTTTTCTTTCTTTCCTATTTTTATTATTTGAAATATAAATTCAGCAAATTCGTAAAAAAAAGTTTGTCTATAAATATCGATAGGACGAATACCTTCGAAGAACTTGTTATTGTTATGGCTATGGGAAATATTGTTATTCTTGTGGTGACAATAGAAATGGTCGTTGCACAGCTGGTTGCGTCTTCATGTTCTTAAATTTCTTGTTGATATTGCCTTGTGAATGGATCAAATCGATGTTGCATTATTTCTATAGACTCACTAAGAAAATAGAGAACTTTCACATAGTCAATATCACGATGCTTTTTTAGTTTGCCATATTCCACACTGCTCCTATTCGACGTTCATCATGTGCTTGAACAATATGTGATCGATCATCAAGTCCATGTGAGATTTGTGTTACAATCATTGAAATTATTGTATTAAATACTTTTGCAACAAGATTATATGGCTCTGAACCCATATATGGTGATACATCATCAGTATCAGAACCACTTTGTGGAATTTCAGCCATCAATTAAGTAGTAAAAGCACAAACAAAGCTAATTAAATCACCATTAGCAGTATCATTATAACTGTTGAAAATAGATCTATTAATTTATTGATCCACGAGAGCATCATCGTTACTATTATAAGGCTGTAAAAGATAAGATATAGCATTCAGTATTCTTCTGAAAATAAATTATATAGAGTATGAATGTGGATCTCTGTCGATCGTCTGTTCGTCCACACTGAGAGATTATATAAGTTGATAGACATGTAAAGCTTCTTCTAAAACTTTTATGCTTTGTCAGTTAAAATGCGTTATCTTCCGAGTAGCAGATTCAAAAACATTCAAAATTTAACATTCAATCTTTTACAATGAGATGAATGTCACCGTAAGTTTTTTTCTCTAGCTATATTAATAAGGGAGATTTATAATTAATATTGGATATAAGTTTTTTCTTCATTTCCCACACACACGAAAAACCGATGAAATTTGGTATAAAAATCTGAATAAAGCAAAATGATAAAAAGAAAGCATCCAAATGAAAATATATTGAAAAAATTGTTTTGAATAAAATTAACTCGTATATTTAGTTCAATGTCTATTCTATAGTGATGGAATTTTATTTTTATTTTTTATTAATTTTATAATAACTTGTCAATATTGTTCATCATCATTCATGTTTAAAAGATTTTTATCAACATTTGTAGTTTTTCACGATTTTTTTCTGTCGAAATTGTTCTTTTTCAATATGTTTCTTTCATTCGATCGTTTTTGATGAATATTTATCGATAACCTACACAACAATTAAAGAATATATTTTGAAAGTATACAATTTGAAAATATATTTACAATTGATTTTTACAATAGCATGATAATCATAGTCTTGTTACTAAACATAATTATCCAGTCAACAGAAATGACTCTAACAGCATGAAAGTATAAAAACATTACTCTTGCAAGTTTAAGATATGGCTGAAGAAGCATCTACACAATAGTAATTATATACCTTCAATCTTACTAAGGATAATAAGAGAAAAAAAGCACTGTTGCAGAGAGGAATTCAAAACTTTTCGATCAACCATCAACATTTGTATGAAGGTCATATGTTGAAAGAGTAGCGTTTTTCCTATCTGTTCATATCTGATTGAAGTATTATTCATTGAACGATATATTCTACTATCATGTTTCGAGTTAGTCATTCTATAATTAAATATTGCCTGTGTCATGTAAGAAACGTTGGTAGTGAATTCAAATTTTTTCTGTTGATAATCACTCATGGACTTAGGTCAAGTTTCTAGTTAGTTGAATTAGATGTAGAATTCGATTCTGAATCGAATGCTAATATCTTCAGGAAAGGTCATCAACAAAAAGACTGTTGGTTTGGCACAAAATACAGGGTATTCTCATTATCTTCATAATATTTAGGTTGATTATATTGTCATAATTGTTGCAATCTATTTAAAGAAAATACTTTTTTATATTTTGAAAAACATAAAAAGAAATAAAGTTAAATATATCAACAAGAACAATTTCTTTTTTACGCAAAATACAAAGTGAACAGCAGCTTAAAAATTTTTTTGTTATTGCTTTGCCTAACTTCAATTTGTACTTAGCACAAGGTTTCTTTTTTTTTCTTTCTAAGACAAAAAATTTAATTTTATATCGTCATATTGTGATTTAAAACGATGATTATATTTAGCTTTTAGTTTTTCTTATGAAAGTAAGATTAAATTCGGAATTGTAATGTAGACTAATCCGTGAGACGCATGCGTTACACAGATCTTCTTTAACTATAATATGACAACAGTTTTGTGTAAAACACACTATGGAAAAGTTCCATTCAAGAAAATAAATATCTTATGATCTTAATTATGAATAGCGATCTATACTCATTTATTTAAGGTATATTTTAATTAATTTTAATTTTAAACAAGCTGCATTAAAAGAACAGAACTAACTATTTTTATTTTTGTAACATTTTTCAAACACATTTTCAAACAATTTTATCGTATTGTTCTCAGATCATTTATAAGTGAACCTTGTCATCTGCCCTCCTATTTCAATGATTTTTTTTGTCTACAGATACTGCATAGTTCTCTGACAACAACCTCAAAAAAAAAAAGATTTTGGTCTCTATGGATAGTAGACTCAACTATCGAATTTTTTCCTAGAGATCTTGGTAGAATTCTGTATTTTTGAATTTCAATCTGAAATTTTGCTCATACAGATAATACAACAAGAATAATTTCCATGAAAAACTTCAAACGTTTTGAGCAAAGTCTCTTTGAGATATAGAACTTTCACAGAATGCATATTGTATACACTATTCATGGGAAAAAGTTAGTCAAATTGGAAGTCTCGTGTTTCGGAGAGACTTTGTTCAAAACGTTGGAATTTTTTCATGAAAGCTTGTCTAGTTGAGTTTCTTTATGTGAGCAAACTTTTCTATTAAAATTGGAAAATACGAGCTTTTGGAAAACTCGTGATGCTATGAGAACTCGTAGAAAATAGACATATTAAACATTCAATAGCTCAGGCAAAGATCAATAGAAACCAAAATCTTTTTAGAGTTTTTATTGGAACACTATATACTATCTATGGGCAAAAAGGCATGGAAATCAGAAGGGATACCTAAAGAAGTTCCTTTCTTAACACGATTATCATTCATTTAACCATTCGACGGTGTCCTCATTTCAGAACTTCATCGCTGTCCTGGGCTCCGCCTGGACCCATCCATAGAAAATTACAAAAAATCAATACTTTTATTTTATTTAAGCTATTCTTCTATATATACTATAGACCTCTAAATACTCTTTTTATAACGGCATATGTATCACTTTCCATAGAGGCAATATAAAGACATAAAATGTCGAAAAACAAGATTGCCTGAATTTTTTTCATAGGACCATTGAAGTATAACTTAAAAGGAATGATAGATCCAATCACTTCAGTCTAGAATGGTTGAACTATACTGGTACATTCACATATATAATAGTCTATAGATAAGAAGAGAAAAAACTTTTCTCTTTAATTATATTTATTTTCACCTTTTTCTTTTTTTTCCGTGTTTAAAAAACTTTAAGACCGTAGTGTTTTTGGAAAATGATGCAGTTGTTCCTATTTGATTTTCTTCCGTGAATGCAATCTTTCCTAATTCTTTCCTTCACATGTGTGGCAAGTTGCCATTGTAATTGTTTAGGAATGAGAAAGACAGTCGGGTGTGAGTGTGGGTGGGTATGTGGCTTTATCTGGATGTGTAATTCATTTTTTGCTTTGCCATTCAAACCAATACCTATACTCATAGTCACAGTCACACCCTGACAAACAGTTTAAAATTCACTCAATTCGGATGAATCGACAAACACGATGTAATTTGGTTTTGATCCAAAACCAATCACAAATCTCACACTGTATAAAGAAAATGTGAATCATTACTATTAATGATGGATGTACAAACGAATCATAACGAATCTATTTTGAAAAACAATCGGAAGACAACAGATGGCAGCGTCAAAAAGACGAAAATATATGCCCATAACATCATCGGTGTTCTAGAGTTCATGTGGACCCACAGCAGTGTTTTTTTCCTTCTAGACTTATTTGTAATATTTGATAAGGATATTATGCGTCTACTAAAGACTAGAGATTAGAGAAGAGGAATGGTCCGAAACAGAAAATATTAAATTAGTACAACACGAAAAACTGTCAAATGGGTCCACTTGGATCCCATGACACCGTCGAAGGGTTAAACATGAAGTTACTTGTACCAAAATAAGTTACAGATTTTCATAAAGAAGATATCCTTGAAATCAATATTGTCAAGATATTTGTAAAACTATGTGTCATACTCCATAGAAACAGGAATTATGATGTTTGTCGATGAATAATTGTAAACCGATCATTTATTAATACACAACTAACTTTATTGAGCTAAGCGTCATCAGAAAAAGATCAATTTCCACGCGAATGTTCGAAATGTCGTACCAAACAATTCAAAATATAAAAATTCGCAAATATTTTGTTAGTTACTCGACAATGAAATCATTTTTTGTTTGTTCTTGAAACGCGTGTCGACGCATTTTAGACAAATGTGTTTTCTTGAATGCATTTAGACGCCTTTGATTAATTCCAACAATAGAATGCATTCTGACTCTATTTGAAAGGTACATACTCTAATCACCAAATTCATAAATACTGTTCTCGATTTTTATATTATTGTTAATAAGTCGTCAAAGCATTCATGAAAAAGTATACTTTTTCTTTTGACCATCCCACTTACAGTCGTCAAGCTCAAGGTCATTGCTAGCGAATATTCACTTTGCGAATCAATCTTTTTTTTTCTTTTAAAACTATCCGAAGAACAATTATTTAGATCGCTTTTCGTGAACGTGATAGCTACTATGTAGGAATAAATATTCAAACAAGAAAAAGATAAACAATAATTCTCAGTAATATTTAAAAAAATCCAGATAAGATAAATGTGAATGATGAATGAAGTGATTCATAATTTCTATTTATTAATAACTATTGCTTTTCATAATAGGATTTATTCTAGTGAGTCATGGTCTCCATATGGCCATAATAATAATAGATAATAAATATCTTTTATTCGATACAAAAAAAAATGGACAAGAGCACAAGACATCTGAACTAAAAAAAAGATCAAAATATCAACCTGAATTTTAGATCAAAGAAGCTGCAATTTTTGTGAAACTGTTATTGAAATTTTCTTATTCATAATGGCTTCCAATAAGATAGAAGAACGAAGATCAACTGAAGCTTGCCAGCAAAGATTCAATAGTTTTTGTGTTTGTGATACGTGCATACACGTGTAGTGACTTTTCTTCAAAAGACAAAAATATTCAATAGTATCTGAGACAACATCGAAACAAAAAGTGAGATATGAAGTATTCCTGCATTTTAATCAATCTAGAATCATATTTACATTGCAACATTCAAGATCATATTTCATACTAATACTGGCATCATCGTGTTATACTTCAACTACTTAAATGTTGATTATTTTGAAACAAAAAAATCTACAAAATTCTTTGTGTCGATTTTTTTCGTAACAGTGAAATAATATTTTTAGCTTTCTGAATTTTGAGACTCTATTCTTCCATATGGAGATAAGTTTGATGCGTTTGTTTCTGTGAGCTTACCGTCACATGTAATACAGACATATGATACATCTGTGTGTCTAATAATAAACTATAAAAATAGTAAAAAGAAAAAATTAGTAATGCATCGTTGAATCATTGCTCCATAACGGTAATGAGTATAATAGAAAATATGATCAGTCGACAGATGTGTAGACAAAAAGTATCTTCCTCATCATTCACTTTATATATTTGTCTTCGATACTTAAAAGCAAATAAATCACAAACATGATCGATAAATGTTTTTGATTTTCATTTTTTTTATAAAGAAGTATTGACTCATTTCAATATTGACTTTTAGAAAAAAATCATTTTTTATTGAACCGGAACGAATATATATTGTACGCCTAAATATGTGCGTTGTCATAAATTTAAAATACTCATTTCTTTTTCTTACTCAATATAAACGTGTCGGTAAGAAAAAGCTATACGGATGCTCAGTGAATACGTGTAGCTTTGTTTAGTTTTTAGTTTCCTTCAAAGAAATTCATGACGTCTATCATACATTAAGACACACGCAACGATATAATTAGATATCTTCGTCTACGTATCACATTTTATTTTTGTGATTCATTCATACCAATGTCTATAAAAAGTACATAATAGTGTTGAATATTGATCATAGGTTGATAGGTACTGTTTCTTGTTTATATATCATGCGTGAAGTGTTTATGACAAAACGTTATTTAAACTTGTTTTGTGTTTACATATTTTTCTATTGACTTACTCTTTGCTAAGTGTGTAAGAACAACTATGAAATATGACAAATTTTGTTTATGTATTTCATATTCTTCGCAAGATCGATACGATGAGAAAAACGTCATTGAATCTTTCAATAATAAAAACTTAATAGAAACAACAGTTCTTCTATGTTTTTTTTCTTGTTTATTTGTTTTGACTATCAATAAATATATATATGTTTCTTTATTCTGATATTATTTTTGTTATTGATGAATAGAAACGTGTTTTCCCTTACATTTTGATGCAGTTTTGTTTAAATATTTCGTTTTCACTTTTCAGACAGAATAATTCGTTAATCTCTTTTATTATTCATTGTTATACAAATTTATTATGGGTGAATTGATCGGTAATCTTCTTTTGTCAATTTTGGCTATTTTATTGCCACCCGTAGCTGCAGTCATTAAAGTATCTTTCTTTCAAATTAAAATTTTTCAGAATGAAAAATTTCTTTTTCATCGATTTAGGTTGGTTGTACAACACATTTTTGGATTAATGTAGTATTGACTATTCTTGGATGGCTACCTGGTGCTATTCATGCTTTATGGCTTATCTGGGCTGGTCCGTCAGGCATTTAATTATGTATACATAAAGCATCATAACTAACAAACTTAGACATTTTTTTCTCATATTCATTTAATCTATTGCTATTTAAGCTTTGGAAAAACTAAGCATTTTTTTTTCTTGCATTTTTGTTTATTTATTATCTAATATATAAATTCAGCAAAATCGTGAAAAAAGAATTGTCTATATGTATTGATAGGGCGAAGGGGCTGGAAGAGCTTTTTGTGGTTGCTGTGTATGAGGTGGAAGTTGTGGATAGGGTGGAAGTTGTGGCTGTTGCTGTGGATAATATTGATATTGTTGTGGTGACGGTGGAAATGATTGTTGTATAGCTGGTTGCGATTGCATTTGCCAATGTTGTGAAAAATTAGGTTCATTAGGAGCAATTCCACGTCGTTGAATGTCTTGTCTATATTGTCCTGTATATGGATCCAGTCGACGTTCAATTATTTCACCACGATCACCAACAAAATAACCGACTTGCATCTTGTCAATGCCACGATCTGGATCGCGTAATGCTTTTTTAGTTTGCCATATTCCACCTGGTCCCATTCGACGTTCATCATGTGCTTGAACAATATGTGGTCGACCATCAGGTCCACATGAGATTTGTGTCACATTCATTGAACTTATACCAAATGCTTTTGCAAAAGGATTAGTTCGATCTGAACCCATACATGCTGATATGCCACCAATATTAGGACCACCTCGTAGAATTTCAGCCATCAATCGATTAGCAAGACCGAAAAACATACCGAACAAATCACCATCACCACCACCATTAAAACCATTAGGAATAGCTCTATGTAATTGTTGATCAACGAGAGCTCCATTATTTGGATTATAAGGTTGTAAAGGATAAGACATCATGTTCAATATTCTTCTGGAAATAAATTATATAATGTCGATTATGTATATGTGTATATATATATATATGTCTCGGTCTTTTTTTGTTGAAAAGAAGTAATAAGAGGGTATGATTTATTTTATCATTGAACGTGAACAATCGAGAATATTTATTGACACTCGTTGGTCATACTTCGATGATTTTTCTCTTTCATTTCTTCACTTCTCTTCTTTCTTTAAGGTTTTTCAATGTCTTTTATTTCATATTTAATGAAAAACGAAGAAAAAAACCGAAATGTACGTTCATGTCAAGGTTTGAATATGATGCAAAAGGCACTATCGAAATAAATATGCCTTGAACTTATTGCCTTGAGTAACGTAATGAATATAATTAAGAAAAATTTTTGCCTATACGTTTCGATGAAATAAGAATATGTCTAAATGGTACATTTACATACGAATATTTCAGTTTGATTGAACCAATAATTTAGAAATTATTTTTCAAATGATTATTACCTTACATCAAAAGGTTTCATATCGAATAAAAACTTGATTTTAAACGATAGATACATGATTTATTAACTGAATATATTTGTGAAATGCGAAGAAGTTATTCTGAATAATAACCATTGCTGTTCTAATGTATACAACTCACCATTGATAATAGTGCTACTCATGTAATTCGAATTACACTGCGCATCAATTCATTTCCCCTCCTTTGTTTTTCTCGCCTAAAAAATATTATTTAAGTTTATTTTTGATAATGTATATATAGCGAGAAAGTACAGATTTCGCTACATCACATGACATAAAAATCATAGAGAAGAAGCAAACTTCAGGTAATAAAAATTACATTAGAAGAAAAAACGATGTCAGATTTTGTTATCACAATGTTTTTTTCATCTGGATTAAATGGAAGAAAATACTCATTCACACAGACGTTTTATCATAATATACGTTCATCTTTGCTGAGATAGCACATTTTCGATATGGATTACGAATTTCTTCTTTCGATAATGAAAAGCAAGTGCGCGAAAGTAATGTCAGAATATCTTTCGCTAAGAGTGGATGTTTCTGTCGAACAGTTTCTTTGAATGAATGCCAGATTGTATTGTCCAACGGTTATACGTATTTTGCTGATGCTGTTGGCATAAACAAAGTATTGATGACTAATTTGTATGGGTGGACAGAAGCTCCACATGCGTCACTTAACACAAAATAGCTGAACGATACTAGTTAAATCATGGTTTTCATTTTTTTTCTTTCTCGTTCGTTTATTTGTTTACATTCATACTGAGTGCTGACCGTATAAATATGTATTCCTTGTGTATCGAACGTTCGAACACATCAATAAATTCGCTTAAAATTTCGTGTCAAGATACTCACATGTAATATTTCATCTCTTGTCACCACCGTATTTCCCCATGGTTAATAATCATATTCAGTACAGTAGCGTTTTCAAACAAAAGGCACTAGAAGAATATCGGCCTGGAGTTTATGGGTCTCGATTCAAAGCATTAGCCAAACGTTTTAAGATTCAAGGTGGTCATAGGCTTATCATGCACTGGTACCGTTCATTCATTAAATCGTAAATCAACACGCTCGCGACCCCGCACCTTAACAAAGGAGGAAACAAAACAATACATTTTGGATTATATGTTGGGTCGACTAATGATCAATATAAAGCGATTAATTATAAAATGGTACGCTCACATGTTGAGACCTCGTTAGGTCAACAAGTTCCATTACATACTATTCAACGGTATGATAAAGAACTTGGCATCAGATCAAGAAAAACGCATCAGGTAACATCACATAATGGTAAGTGTGGCACTTAATATTAACGGTGCACCACCTTAATGTTCGAAAATTTATCTGATGGTTTTCCTGTTTTGTAGTTAATGATAATTATTAGTACGAGATTGCTAATTTTCGAAAGTTTGTGCAAAGGATTCCGAATTATCGATTGACTTTTCTTGATGAAACAGTGATTTATACCACTATGTTTCCTCGTCGAATGCTTGTTGCTCCTGAACATGAATCATTCATTATTGTGGACAAACCATCAGCACATGCCGATCGTTATGATTTTATTGCTGCAATAAATGGTGTAAAGTCGATCGCTTGTATGACTCTAACGCCCGTTGATCGTAAAAGTCGGAACATCAATGTTGTTAGAAAGGAAGTTGTGAATGCATGGATTACCAACGAATTAGCACCAGCAATCAATCGATTGTGTATTAACGAATTGTATTTGATATGCGACAGAAGTCGAGCCCATAACAAGCTGAATATGCTCCAAGCGCTTTGAAGGCTGTAAAATATAAATCATTCATCGATATTTTGTTTATGCCAACAGCATCAGCCAAATACGTATCACCGTTGAACAATCCAATCTGGCATTCATTCAAAGAAACTGTTCGACAGAAACATCCACTCTTAGAACAAAAGATACTCCGACGTTACTTTCGCGCACTTGCTTTTCATTATCGAAAGAAGAAATTCGAAATGTGTATCGAAAATATGCTATCTCAGCAAAGATGAAAGTATATTATGATAAACCGTCTGTGTGAATGAGTATTTTCTTCCATTTAATCCAGATGAAAAAAACATTGTGATAACAAAGTCTGACATCTATTTTTCTTCTAATGTAGTTTTTATTACCTGAAGTTTGCTCCTTCTCTATGATTTTAATGTCATGTGATGCAGCGAAATCTGTACTTTCTCGCTATATATACATTATCGAAAATAAACTTAAATAATATTTTTTAGGCGAGAAAAACAAAGGGGGAAAAATGAATTGGCGCGCACTGCCAACAAAAAAAGTGCTGGTAGATTGCCGATAGACTATTCAGAATAATGTGCGCTATACCGATGATATTCGTCGGCAGTAATAATTACATATAAAAGTGGTAGGCTATACTCGGATGATCATCAGAGTTATATTCACTTAATGTTTTGGTTTATAATCGTACTGACTTAAAGATCTTTCTGAAGATCTTTATCACTTCGAATCTAGATTCATAATAAAGATATGAATGAATATTGCTGATCAGCGGCTTTCAGAAAACTTCGTATGATTGGCATAAAAAGTATACAAGAGATGAGCCAATGACATAGTAATTGATATTTCCAGAAAACATGCCTTTATTCCTTTATTTCTTTATTCTGTATTCAATGTTTTTGTTTCATAATCAACAAAGCAAGCAAACGGATTCATTAAATTACGTTCATGTCGAGGTTGAAACGAGACACGATAAGCACCAGGAAAAAATTCTTTGATATTTTCTTCTTGAATAGCACCTAGAATAAACCAAAAAATAATTCATTGTTTAGTTGTGTGTTGAATAATAATAATTAGATGAACAATTGTATACCTGTGCAAATAATATGTTTACATTGAGGTGTAGGTTTTCCAATAAATTTAACTAAACGAGATACTTTCTCAAAACATTCTTGAGAAAGAAATGGTGGATCAATTATTAAAACATCGAATGAATTTTTCAAAGATGCGTAATTTTCTTCAATTCGATCAGCATCGTTATAATCATATTCTATAAAAGATTTATTATCAATAGCAAAACGAGTATCATATTCGAATAGAACATTATCAATTTCCGGATGTTCCTATTGAAGTTTTAACAATATGAATATATAAATCATTGTAAAATGTACGTTACTTTTTGCATCAGACTCCAAACAGTTGGACAAGCAATACAAGCACATCTGAAAGAAAAAAAACAAAACATAGATATAAATTTATTCTAATATACATAGGACAGAATTATTTTATTTTTCTTACTTTCCATGTTGAGGTAAGATGGCAATTACTTCATTCATTAACCGCGTAGCTGTTTCCTTGTTGTACCAAAATTGACTTAGTTGCTAAATAAAACGAAATTTAATAATTTTTCAAATCTTTCTTAAAATCATTGCATGTGTTGAAACTATCAAAAGTTTATGACAAATTATGTATTAAATACAGATGTCGTAAAAGGAGTTATTTATTCAACTAATAGAGTCTAACTCGTGACAAGAGTGGAATACATAATAGATCTGTTTGCATCCTATTTCAGAAATTCATATATTTGAAAGTGATGAATTAGCTCATTTTCGCTGAATGAAGTCATAATTAAAGAATGACGTCTGCATCAAATATGATGCGCTATATACATAATACATATTTATATTTGATTATTTTCTCAGTTGGTTACCATGTCGAATCTGTTTCCTGTTCGAAAACAGATATTACTAGAAGAAGGTTTCATCTGTCTGAACTTTCACTCAAAAGGATGGTGACAGTTGTATAGTCTCTACATTTTGCTGGAGATTCAATACTTAGATTCATACTGACATCCATACCAATACTCCTTTCGATGGTATTTGTTTTTGCTCAGGCAACCTATTTAATTGACTTCTTAATCAATTGATTTGATAATAAGCTAATTAATTATAATAATATTCTATATATACAATGGATCATATGTGATTCAGACTCGTGTTCAGTTATGAATTCGTTGGACGATATTGGAATCGGGTAAAATGAAAAATACTTACGTTTTTTTCGTAATGCCCAGTAACTAACTCAAACCAAAAAGTTTCCAGATTCTAGAAGACATTGTATAGATTTGCATCTAACAATACCATCTGAAAGAGTATGCAATTATGGAGAAAATGAAGGATCACGGTGTTTTTTATGATCTTTTCTTGCAAAGTTAAACGCATGACAAAAAAATTCATTTTTCAACTATTTTTAATGTAAATTTTGCAATTTTTCTGTTTTGTAATGCTTTTCAGTTCGTAAGAGAAATTCATACTATACACGACGATTCATTATCTTTTCCATAATTTTATGCTCTTTCAGATGGTACTGTCACAAACGAATCCATACAACTTGGTCTGGGACCTGAAAACTAGCATGTTCCTTTTTTTTATATAAATGACTATTTGGCCTTGAGTTAGGTACTTAATAGTACACAGAGAAAAATAAACAAGATCTTGTTCTTATAATTTTGATTAGTATT